TACATTCTATATAATTTTATTAACTTATTCATTCATATTTAATGTTTAAAGTGTGTTTATATGTCATATATGTATATAGACGAGCAGAAGGAAAATTTGTCCCTTTTAATGACAAATTAAAAACGAATAAATAAATAAAATATTTTAAAAATATATTTTGTTTTTGAAATATATTCATATTAACTTACAAGAGAATTCCAATGCTCCAATTTCCAATGTCCTATTACGATGATGCTTATATAAACTACTGATTACTGTATATATATAATATTATTTATTATTTTTTATTAATATATCTTTTCTCTTAAACATAATTTACTTCTTACTACATTACATTAATTAAATTACCTAAATAATATCCAATTATTACGGATTTAAAGGAGAAAAAATTGTATTCAAATAATGATAATTGTGTTGGTTTTTCTATAAGAAAGAAAAAATTGTTACACGATATGTACTGTACAAATAACAAATATTATCTTTGACATTGTTATTTATTAACGAGATTTGTAGACATTATTGAAGGAAATCCTAAATTGTTATGATGTTTATCATTTATTCCAATGATGCTATACTTCGAGATTAGTAACACACGTCTGTGACTCGATATTATTACGTTCTTCTATTTTTTTTGGCTCTAGTAAGCTTTTGTTTTTGTTTATGAACACTAAAAAACATCTTTTCTCAAGTCCACAATAAAGTGACAGGCTTTTTCTTTAACTCTTTCCGCTCTGTGGGTAACAAGACGACCTTTCCTCGGATCCACAATAGAACGACATGCTTTAATTTTCAATGCTCCGCCCTGTGGGGGCCTTTCTTTTAGTGAACCTATTATGGGTTTAGCCAGGTCCTTAAAGGGGGGACCGAGTGATAAGGCACGGGGCCCGAGACAGACTATCCCCGAAAAATTCTTGATCTCTCAGTAAGTATCGACTCCATTGAACTGTGATTTTTTGAACTAATGAACTATAAACTTTGACTCTCTTCAGCTCGGAGTTTTGACTCTATTCAATTCAATTTTTTTATGATTATTGTTAATTAAAAAACAACGTGCAGTTGAAAAATATAACCATTATACTGCATATATTAAATCAACAATAATAATTAACTTATATTTTTAAGTGAAATTGAATTAATTATATATTAAAAATGTATAAAGGAGTAGTAATTGAAAAAAAAATTAAATTGAGATTAGTAAGTAAGTTACGTTTATAACCATCGCGTGCAAGTTGATGTAGGTTTTAAAACACGCTTTCTGTCGTTAAGGAAAAAATAATAGAACAACAATGCGGTTGTGTTGATCTGTCGTCTTGGTAAATATATTTTAAAACTTTTAATCATATAAGAGTTTCCTGTTTAAAAATACAAAATAAATATTTGACAAAAGAAAAATCATTTAATTTATAAACTTTATACGAGTAAATAGTAATGCTTTTAATCCCGTAAAATCTTTTCTTCTTCTTCTTCTTCTTTTTTTTCAAGCAAGTAAGAATCGCCTTTATTAAAATATTATCTTTAATAAGTGATGCTTACATAATTTTAATATTCTTCTATGAAGTTCAATGACCTAATCACTGAACCATCGTTTTAGTTCCGTTTGACGAAGCACGAAATACGTCATTGACTTTCACATAACTATACTTATCGTACTTATCAGACGTATATTTCCTCTCGAATTCAACTCAAAAAAGCTTGAAATTTTATTCTTATAAAACGGTAAGAATAAATTTCGTTTTTTTAAATATAGATATAAAGAATAAATATTAAAAGTTTAAATAATTAATTTAATATCTTGAATAATAAGAGACCTTCTGTACAGTACTTAAATGGGAAAAGTTTTGTTGCCCCTGTAAATGATCCTTTTCCTTAGTGATTAGTGTTATACAGTGAAGTTAACTTACGTTTATTTAGGGGCAAATCAATAATTGAATTTTTCCAAGTTATGATATTGATTTTAAAACTTAATATATCTAATAAAATAGTAATAAAATTTATTTTAAGTCTATTTATATGTTACGCTACGTTAATCTTTATTAATTTAAAGCTTTTTTTTTGCGAAATATTATCCAATTTAATGACTAGTTAATTTTAGGATGCCAAATTTTGTTTCGTTATTGCTTAGGTTTATTATGTATAAAAGTAATTTTATAGCTTTAAAATATATTAGTTTTTATAGTAAATTGTTCGTATTATAACATATTTGATAATTGTCCAAACAGTAGGATGTGTGTGGATATATAGGGCATTTTTAATCACGAAATGCGAATGTTTTTATATATAAATCTAGAAAAATCTGATGTTGTAGTGTTTATAATCGATTATTGTCAAGGTTTCTAAACGAATAAACCCACCCACTTTTCGTGAGATTGTCTAACGTTGATCGATATTATATTTTATTTTATACGCTATACATGACTATATAAACTACTGACTCATAAAATTATAAGTTATTATAATCTAGGAGAATAATTTTCTATATAAATGTTTAAAAATAATAGTAAAATATTTAAAAAAAACAATAATTTTATATTGTTTATATGCGGAGTTTGTATAAATAAAGAAACGATCCATTGTTTAGTTGCTAGGATGCAGAAAATATATTTAATCGCTTGTTTCGATTTTAAAAAAGCTTTTTTTTTATATAAAAATCTAACTTATTTCTATATAAAAATCATTTTAAAATTTGATTATAATATGAATGATTCATACGAAGTACAGTTTTTGAACTTTAATTTTTTATAAGAAAACTATTTTCATATTTAAATCATTTAATATTAATAAATAATCCTGTACAATATCGATATTATATATTGATATTGTACAGGATTATTTCCTATTAGATTTATAATTAATTGTAATTGTTGTAGATTGAATAATTCAATTTATTTATATGTAATTATCTAGCAAAATAATTTAACGTAAATCGTAATTTTATTTGTTATTTAATTATGTAATTGAATAAACAAAAAAAGCAAATATGCTCAGGTGAAAAGTAATAAAGAGAAGTATTAAAATAAAAGCCATATTAAACGTTTATTTTAGCATACCATGTTTACTTGTATCACGAAGTATCAGCGGGATAAAACGAAAGAGGAGGAGTGGTATTTTTGAGTTTTATGGTAGTATATTTTCCGCATGGTGCTAGAGATTAACTGTGAAAAATTTGGTGCAGATCGGTCAAAAGGTTTAGAAGTTTATACTTGTTTATAGTGAACAAACAGAGAGATATTCTATATATATATATAGAAAGGTAACAATGATGAGATGTTTAATTAGGAAGAGAAAGAAAGAATTACATACGTATTTCATTGATAAGAGAAGCAGAAAATGCTTAACGTTATTTATTTTTCAATAGAAATCATACTTAATGGTGAATATAAATAATATATATCATTTTCAATTCAGCTCACGATAAAAATCTTTCTATGTTTCTTCTATTCCATCTTATTTTTCCAAGTAATGCTAACAAAATTCCTATCTTCCTCTTCCCATCTTCCGCAGTGATCTTTTTCCCTATTCTTTCTTATCTTCTGAGATCCATTTTAATACTTAATTTAACAATCTGCCGTCTCTTTCTTATGCACATGATCTGTCAACTTTAAAGTTTTCGTTCTGGCAGCAACGTTTGATGCGATCTCTTATTCATAAATTATGCATACGATCCTTTCTTATGTTAATCCTAAGAAACATCTCTTCTTACTTTTTTTTATATATTATCCATCTTTGGATGATTACTTTAGTAAGAATTTATGCTTCAAATCTATATTTAAGGATATATAAAATATTAAATAGAACGGTGGAAAACAAAGTGTAGAAAATTTATTTAAACTTCTCTATTATAAAAACTAGAAATATTGTTTTTATATGTAAACTATATTGAACGTAAAATATAGAAGGTTATTTCGTATAAATTCCTGGAAAAATAACCATTATTTAGAGGTGGTCTTTGTGGGGAAGTGCTGCGTGTCATTGGTGATAATCTATTAAACTCTTCAGCAACATCAGGATGACCTTGGGTTCACACCTTTTAAAATAACTTCTGACTCATCGCCATGCTTTACCTACAAAATAATAAATAAAATAAAGATCAACATAACTTATACGGTTCCAGACTTATAGGACACCTTGTATGACAAAGATAAGCACTTAAAAATACATTTAAATCATAAGTAGTAACTATAATCTAACCCACATTTTAAGCAATTTTAAAATAAGGCCAACAATATACAGTATATAAAATATAACAACTGACAAATGTCATTTGTTTTCGATTTACCAATGTGAAGGTCTTTCGTGTATTATTTTTTCCACGAGATCAATTGATAAAACCCATTCACACTGGCACAATATTTTTAATTGACATTGCATGTTTTCCACATAGAAGTATTATGATTTATATAATAGGAGATGCTACGTCTCTCGCAGATAATTCGATAAATATCGATTACAATTTTCGTTTGGCATAATCTTTTATGAGAAATGCCACATAAATTGTGAAAAATATATTAAAAAAAATACTAATATTGATTAAATTCTTTTAAACATAAACAAACGAAACTAACCACAATATATACACATCAATATTTATGTTTTACATGCTAAAACTGTAGCCTGTAGAGTATTAAGGTAGACGTGTATAAGGTAAATTTACCTTTAAAATCTTTAAATAATTAAAAAAAAATAAAAAAAAATAAAATATATTGATCGAAAATAACACGAAAAAAGTATTTATAAAGATATAAATCTTTGGTAGACACGTCAAATATTTCGTTAGCCCATTAAAATGGTAACATATAACACGATTTATACATTGGAAAGTAAATAAGTCACGAATATGCACTTAAATTAGAAAATGGGCCATGATTTCTTTTTCTTTTTTTTTTGTATTAATATTTACTTAATGCATTTTCATTTTTTTTCTTACCTTTCTTTACTTTAATATTAATTATTTACGACAGAATAAGGTTAATTAGATGTTGTTTTTGTATATTTATACAGAGAAGAACTATACTTTCCTGTTTATCCGACATTGTCGCATACAACAGAATTAACCAAGTAAAGGTGATTGAACTGATTCGATATAATTTGGTTATAGAATATTTTTGGTAATTCTCGCGTGTGTCCTATATCTTTTACTATTGTTTTGAATGTATAACTTGATATAATGTAAATAAATTTTGCATTTTTAAACAAATATAACTTATTTAAGTTCAATTCCCTTAGGAAATTAGCCCGAGTAGTTATATAAACTTCAACTTTTTGTGGGAAAGTTTTACGATTTTATATGAATAAATTACATAATTCATAACAAAATTTTATTAAAATTTTAATAATTTATCTCAAAAATTATCATGATAAGTACCGTAGTTGTATCTAAAGCATATATATATGTATCATTGGGAATCGTCTATTAATTACGTGTATAAATTTTGAGTCACTGTTGAACCTCCCTCCCTGTTGTACACATTGAAATTTTGACAAAAATCCTCTTTAATTACGGTGTATAACAGTTCACGGACCCCCCTGACACTGAAGAAATTACTTTAAAAAGTTCTTCAAATATTTCAGGTGTCTTTTTAACTTAAGAAACAAATTCGTATGCCACTAACAATACTGAAAAGTCACAATCCCGACCCCTCTCTCCCCCATCGCGTGCAATGACGCATTTTTAGAGCTTTCCAATTTAAACTGTACACGTAATTAATGAATGGATCCATTGCTGCCATATTAATTTTCGAATTTTTAATATATTTTTCTAGTTATGGACTCTTCGTAAATTAATTCTTCTGGAAAATATAAGATGATGTGGACGAAGACAAGAAGAAAATCTCAAAAAATAGATTTTCTCACTGCTCCATTTGAACATTTAATAATACTTTGTTTATTTATTGTTAGCATGATTATATTTAAGTGTGAATGTGCCGTCAAATTTGAAGATATTCAAAAAGAAATTAAAATAACAGGTAAGTTAATCAATTAAAAAATTAAACTAGATTAATTTTACTTCTAGAAAATTTCATTATTTAAGCAAAATTTTTATAAATACAGCCAAACCTAATAGTATATTTGAGGCTCCAGCCCAATAATTTCTTTATAGACATTATACAGCTAGAGATATAAAACAAAAAATGGCCCATTAGTAATGAGCAGTGAATGAAACCCTAAAAAAGGGAAAATAGCTGGGTATTCGAGCCCTGTATATAATACATATACGGAGTTATTGGGCTACAATTTAAAAAAAAAATGTAGACCTATAAATTCCCACTGTCATCTGTCTGTGTGTCTGTCCTTCCTTAATCTCGAGAAAGGAGTTAGATAGGTGAAATATGAGACCAGATGTGGTAACTTTAGGGGCGAGAGGTCCCAATTAGCTAAACGGAAGTTACGTTATTTAAATTCAAAATTTCTCCTGAAAGGAATTAGATAGATGACATCCATTGCTAACAGAAAAGTATAATGTACAGTGGCAAGACACTACAGTACTAAGTACAGTATATGTTTATTAGTTAACCGACTTTTGTGCCACTCTATACATTCAAGTATATGTTTTGTATGTTCTTATATACATGTAGAATTATAATTATATATGAAAAACGATAAATTTTCTAGCCCAATATAGATAAATATTCCGCAAAATCCATCCGGAATCATTGTATTATATTATAGAAAACAGGAAAAGCCACAATATATTATTTCTCAGCGCCATTTTCTTGAATAAGTAATGAATGTATGTTACTACCAATGTAATTTAATATTCGATTGGTCGATTTTTGAATCGATCATCTAGGAAAAAATAAGCATAAATAAACAAAAGACATTCATAAACACGATATACGTGTACAGGGTCATTTAATTAACGATTGTTTATTATCTGAAAGGTCATTCACACTTATTTATACCAACAAGAAGAGGTTTATTGAATTCGATGATTTATACGTAAACTTATTGAAAATATTTCTGAATTTTACAGAACTTCTATGCAAATTAAATACCTAGAAGTTGCTGTAAATGTGCTCAAGTCCATTCCAAGGTTGTTAATGTTATTATCAAATAAAATATTAACTTTGTAAATACAAAAAAAATAGCAATTAAAAACGAAATGAGAAAGTATTTTATTATGACAATACCAGGATGCAATTTTTAAATATATATTTAATTTATTTAACTTAAAATATATGCTCTCCATCTCAAATTAGTATTGGCTTGCTCCTGTACATCATACTTTTCCTTTAGTAATTCTAGTCGTGCCGGTCTCTTTTCGGGAGAGAATATTTGAATGGAAATAACGTTATTTCCGGTTTCTGTTGGAAGTTTGCATGTAGTTAATCGGGGTCTCCTGCCCCTACGGTTTCTATTTCTAGTCTCCTCTTTCATCTATCTCAAACCACTCTCGAGATTAAAGGAGGACAGACGGATGAAAGATTTCGATCACCCTCTTTCAAGCTTAATAACTCCTATGGTTTTTGTCAAAAATTTCTGAAATGTTGCGGAGAGGTTTTCTTATTAGGGGGATTGACGCTGTTAAATTTTGGTGGTTAAAGGTCGAGGGGATGGAGAGATAATGGGTGTCGTGTGTATCTCCAGTAGAATCGGACTTAATGAAGATTATACTCGTTATTAGCATTTATAGTTTTTTTTTTTTATGAAACCTATCTTTACCCTCAAAATTAAGCTTTTTGCCATTTCATAATAGTAAAAAATATAAAAAAAAATTAAAAATAAAATATTATAACAGATGGCGCCACAAAATGTCGCCTGGAAAGTTAAGCAACTCGTTGCTGGATTTTTATTTCTGAGGTGAACGTAGAAATGTAGTGAAATGTAGCGAATTTGTAGTGTTTATCTGTAGTGTTTATGTATTTGCTCGGTGCTTGTGTTCCTCGATACAATTAATGTGCGTTATGTCATTTTGGGGGTAGATATGTGCGACAGCATTACGGAAAATTACAAGGTATGTGGGATAGTAATTGAAAGTATTACGTAGTATTACTTAATTTATGGACGATCCCTGCATTACTAGTGGCTACATCCACAGAACATTGGTAGTTGCTGGTTCGCTCCTGACCTAAATGGTGATGTGGAGTTTTCAGGGTTTTCCTCACGTGTCTAACACGTAAGTAGCAGCCAGTTTTCCATTAATAGCCCTCCCGGTAGGTTACCTTTTCCATTAATTACCCAAGAAGGCTGTCGGGAGAAAATCTCAGTCCTCGAGAAAATATCTCGTAGTGGTTCCTATCTCTATAAATCAATGCTAGTTTTATAACAAAAGATACAATCTTTAAAACTGTTTTTTATTATTATTAATAAAGAAACATTTCATGTATTTCATTTGTTAAAAAAATAGCAAAAGAGGGCACTCTAAAGGGCAAAAGGCTCCGTTCTATCCGGGCCCCATGCAAACTCTCTTACTCCCAAGTGTTGTTTTGCCTTATTCCATCAATCCAATTTTTTAATATATCGATAATATCCAATAAAAGCTTCTCTTTAATGTTATTTCCTAAATAATATATAACTTTTGGCAGAATTTTCGTTAGCTAAAGGCTGTAGATTAATAGGAAAATTATATTAAAAAAAAAACATTTATATTATTTATTTCGGAATCGATTGTGTATAAAAAGAAATAACANCACAAAATCAAAAAAAAATTTAACTATTTTTAATTAGTAGAATAAGTTCTTTGCCTGTTTTTGAGGTGAGTGGAAAAATACGCCAGCAGCCTCGGCAGACAGAAGCGCCCCCAAATAACACGATTATTCGATTTAATATTTTTAGAAGAGAAAAAATAAAAATTAAAATAGCGTTGTCCTAGTTTCTAATTTCTACTTTTAGTTCTTTGTCAGAAATTTAAAATATTTTTCGTCACACTTGTCTCACTGTCAAGTAGAGAGAGCCCTTTTTCGAGGCAGTGGATAAAGCCACTGAACACTGGTTGAGGTCGAACCCACATTGATTGTGTGTTCATACCTTCAGCGATCTATCTACATCTAAATAGGGACCAGTTTCCCGTAGAAATTATTTCCGGGAGGATCGCTCATGCGTTGTTTTGCCATATAACATCAAACCAATCTTTTCAAGCCCATTATGGGTTCAGTCAGGCCTACAATAGGGCTACCGAGAGACTCAATTATATCCGGTACAGTCTATCTCTCGATAAATTGCCCAGGTTCGATTTTCCAGGTTCTTCAGAGAGGTAGTTTGATGTCTCAAGTGCCTCACCATCCGGCTGGTTGTTAATTACTTATATTAAAAACTTAATCAATTGTTATAATAATTATCAGTTATTCTAAACATGTCTTATCTCAGGTTTAATTTAAGTTGTTACGTTTGAATAACGTATCTCAATATTACGATAAACAATACAAGGACACGCTACAGATATAATTCTTTATCACGAAAGAAAATCACTCTTGGTTAATTACATTTTGTAATTTTCATGATTTACTAGCTTTTAGCTGTATAGATTTTTAATATCTTCCATCCACGTGTTCGTTCATCAATGGGATTCGTCAGGTATACAATAGGAACGTCAAATGGAGAGAGAAAGACAAAGCTCGACATCCATGAAAGTATTTAATAATCTAATTCAGACCCTTATCCAAATCCTTCAGAGGAATTAGTTAATGGAGTTGTAATAGAATTTGGATTTGGATTGTCGGTGTAAGAAGATGCAATAAATGGGCAATCTGCAAAGGGGGAACATGGCTCCCAGGAGGACTTCTATGAGAAATTAAACCAAATTACTATTCATCTGGAAACAGACACGTTCATGTATTAGCTAATGAAAACGTTATCATTTATTCAAATCGATAACAGTTTTAGAGAAATTACTTCAAACAGAATTTATGGAAGCATGAAACCATTAAAACTTCAGAAAACGTAGAATAAAAGAGCCATTACGAGGTTGTTAATGTGTATATGTTACATTTCTTTCTGCCATGAGATACCCACAACACAGAAAAATATGTCGTATCTTTAAATATTTGACGTTAATTAAGATTACTGTATATGCATAAGGCACATTTTTAAAATGTGTATTCTAAAAATGAATATAAATGTAATAAATATTTTAGGATAAGGATCGAGAAAAACACTAATGTACCGTGAAGATAACACGTTTTTCTATTCTCAAATAGAAAAACATAACTGAAAACTATGTGAATTATGATGCATTTTTGATGATAAAATCGTTGTTAATCGTTAAATTATCTATTCAAAACAATTTCGACAATGATTCTTTCACGATAATCATACAGGGTGGTCCGAAAGTTAATTAACCGTTGCCATTTTATATTAAAATACTTTACTACTAATAAATAATTGTTTGAAATACGTTAGATTGATGGAATAAGGCGACACAACACATGCTGATGGAGTGAAAGTGCCTCTCAAAAGGACTTTCTGGTTCCTATTTAGGTGTTATCAGTTTAGTGGTGTTGTCTACTCGGCCACTAGTGGACTATTTAGAATGAAATCTCCATTATTCAATATACAATTGGCAAATTTTTCGTATATCTTTCCTTTAATAGCCTGTTCGAGCGATTACAGATTCACCAATGAACGTTTAACTGACTTTAGGCCAACCTTTTCACTGGTGTTGCGATTTATATAGAGCTAAAAAGAAGGTTTAGACAACTTTTTTAAATCAAAAATTAATAGTATAACATATTTCCTTTCTTTAGAAGTACTGTACAGTATATAAAAAAGTCTAGTAACGAATTTCGTAATGTTACGAGATTTTACTTAAAATATAACTTTTATATTATTAATCATAATACAGGACCCACTGATGGCCGAGTGAATAAAACAATTGAACACTGGCAGTGGTCGCCAGTTCGAGCATCGCCAACGGCCGGCTACGTGCTCTTCCGACTATGGTTCACGTGTTTAATAACGTGAAGAAAACCCGGAAAACTCCACCCTCAAATTTCGAAGACACAACGTCATCGTTCTTAAATGTCGTGGC